GTCAGAATGACTTGATATTTTACCAGAACTGTTGTGAGGCAATGCAATTTTGGTGAAGTAAAAAAAAAGTTTCAAAATGTGCCGATAGATGGCGTTGTCAGGGTTCACATTGCTGTTATGAAGGTATGACTAAGACTTGACATGCGCACCGCAGACATAGCTGTGATAAAAATGAAGAAAACTAGCAGAACAAGTAATGCTTTGCCTGAATGCTTCATCATAACTCACAAAGAAGGATCGTGATTTGCCCGTGAAGCTTTCTGATCAGAACAGTGACTAGCATCAACAGCTATCAGGAAGTTCTTTTCATTAAAAGGCATAAAATCTGGCCCCATGACCCCTTACGGCATGCTGAAAATGATAGATAAATTTGAAGAGATCGGTTTATTTTACGTGAAGCAAGGTAGAGGATGAAAACCAGTTTCGGCAGTAGCAATGGAAGATGTAGCCACAATATTACAAGAATAGCACAACAGAAAAATGGATGAATGTTGGATATGCCTATTAGCATGGTAATATCCTATGGAACATCTTGCACTGTTTATCCATGCAAGATAACTCATGTGCAGCAGTTGCTACTTGCTGACATGGAAACATAGGAATTATTTGCGCAATGATTTCTTATCCGGATGGAAGTCGACAATGAATGGCCAGGGAACATTCTGTGATCTGGCAAAGCCTATTTCCATTTGCAAGGTTCTGAAAATATGCAAAATTGCATGATATCGGTGATTGAGAATTCGTTCTTGCTAAAGCCATTATCTCTTCAATCTTAAAAAGGTGTGGTGCAGAATAACTGCAGCGTTTGTCTCATCGGTCTGTTATTCAAGATTGCAACTACGGGTCCCATTAATTTCACCGTTACTGTCAAGCGGTAAGAAGCAGTTTTGCTTAACCACATCCTTCCAGCAATTCAGCCAGACAGTGTGTGGATCGTACAATGTCCATGCAAGATGGCACTCCTCTAGACATTGCTACTTGTGTCAAGTATCTGCTGATTACTCTTAAAATCATAAGCCGTCATTTTCCAACAGAGTGGCTGCCACATTCCCCCAACTAAACCCACGCGATTTTTGCCTTTGGCAATATCTGAAAAATGTTGTTTACAGTGGGTGGATTGGGAATCTGACCGACTTGAATGCAAGCATCATGCGCCACGTTCATAGCATCAGTACAGATACCCTCTGAGCTGTTGTGGAACATGCCGTTTTGCACTTCAGCTAGTAGCAAAACAATGCAGAGGCCATTTCGAACAACTTATGTGTTAATTCCATCCGTAAGGTATTTGTTTCATGAAGCTCCTCTTTTCACTATAAAGACGTATTCTTTAAATTGTTCACTGTGAACACCTCTTTTTGCCTGTCGTAAACCCTTGGAGTCTATTGTTTCCTTTCGGCTAACAACATTCCCATGTTTAACGAATCTATTTAGGCCTTACCCCTAATAGCACCATCTATTGGCACATTTTGAAAATATTTTTTCGCCAAACAAAATTCCAGTGCCTCACGATTGTTCTGGTAAAATATCAAGTCATTCTAACCAATAATTTTAAAATTGGAGCGTTTTAAAATCATAACTTTAATTATAATCATCCTGAACATTTCTTAAGTTTATGAAAAAAATTAAATGAGTTGCTTTGTTTTTGAAGTTGTTTATAATGCTGGATTCTTGCATCATCACCAAAATCAAAATTCTGATGTTGGCAAAATTTTCACCTACCTTTTCCTTTCTTGAATTTGTATTTCATTTACAGAGAAATGCCGAGCAGCCATGCTGTTAGAATTTTCAGCAAACATGATTGATTATCTGTAGTTTGAAATATGTCATATAATTTCTATGCCTTTCAGGCAAAAAATAAAATGGCACAGATATCGCATATCTCGCATACAAGACAACAAACAAATCGACAAAATGTGCTAGTTTCAAATAGGTTACCAGAATTAAAACTATCATCATTGGCATCTAGCATTTTACTTTATATAGTGATTTGGTTGGAAACTGTACCACTTTACCTGCTTAGCAGCATTTTCACTCTCATGGCAACATGTTTGGAATTTACAGGATATTTCTTTCATTTTGCCGTATATATGGGTTTTGAATTTTGGCTAAATTTAGAAGAGAAAGCACATTCTGTATGTACACACATCAGCTTATATTTAGAAATATATGGTAATAATTTGGATAAGCTAGTGGCATAATAGATGCATACTGATGCATTGAAGAAACTTGCAGATGTGGCTGAATTAAATATTTCATTTTATTGTAGTTGACATTTTCAGCCACAAATAACTTGGCACAATAATTGCCTCTACATAAAATTTTTAAATGTAATTTTGAGGACAGCAGACAGCAGCAACTTGACACAAGCAAAGCAGAGTAGCAAATGCTATGTATTCCAAGCTGAAGGCTCAGTTCAAAAGAATTTGTGTGTTAGTTTACAGTTTTGAGTTTCAGTTCTGAATTTTCTGTATCATAAGTACTATGAAAAAAGATGGAAAGGGAAAATATCCACATTGCGTAGAGAATTAAGAGACTATTGCAAATTAAAGTTAGTAATATTATTTATATATTTTTTATCTATCATATATATTTTGTTTGTTTTACTCAGAAAAACATAATTTAATGATGAAACAAGGTATTAATTTCTGAAAATTAATTAATTTTATATGTTAGTTTAGAAGTTGCGTTAAAAAATTAATAGCATAATGTTTCAGAATAAATAATTTACTTGAAACAACCCACTTACTTTAATATGACAATAGATTTTTCCAAACTAATCTTGATTACATTCAGCTTGTTGAACAGAAGTTCTGTTTTAAATTGTTTTTAAAATGTAAGGCTTTCTCTCTGAAATTGGTTCTTTATTTTCAATTTCTTCCAATTTTAGCTTATGTTGGTTACTAAATACATAAAAGTGTGTTGAATCGTTTTGGTGTTTTCTGATTACCCACACCACCAATTTCAGCATTCGTTAAAATAATTTTTTAATATATTATAATTTGAGTGTTATATGTGATAATTAGCAACACATACATGAGCATTTCACATGTGTGTTAGAGTATACATGGATTTATATGCTTTGTATTTAGTCGTCATTACACTGATTAGTATTTTTGTATAGATGATGTAGATTTTCATTATTTTCTTACAAAATTTATTGTTTTTTACTAATACTTTTTTTGTGCACTTCTTTTTTAATTGAGATAACCAAACATGTTTCTCCAACATATAATATTGGCGTTGAATTGGCAGCTTTTCTTGGGATTGCTGATATTCAAAAAGTACCATCTGCTCTTTTAAGTTTTGCTAAAATACTGTAGAATTCTAATTATTCAGAATTCAAATTTTTCATGTCTTTTGTTCTCCTTTCTCGCCCAAATGAAATTAAACCTGTTTATTTATTTATATGTTCCCATTTATTTATTAGTCATTGAATGACACAATATTTTACAGATTTTAAGAAGTTAGATCAGTGATTGTCAACGTTATTTGCCCCGTGCACAACTTTCACTGTTGCTAGATGATCATTCCCCCTGTCATTTCCTAAATCATATAATACATATACATTTATTTAAATTTAAGGGATTTCCTTCCTGATTGAAAGCCCTTGAGCTGGATTAATATGCTTCATGTGTAAATTTGCCTACTATGTCTAGCAAAAGTATGTTACCTAAAAGAATCAATGGAAAAACATGCATGTTCTATATATACTCCGACTGTTCTTTGTGTACTCTAAGTCTTTGCTTAGCCATAACATTGTTCTCCTTATCTAAAAGTAGATGACATGAGCATAATGATATGTCATTTCTACATGTATGGCAGAAATATTTTTTGGGATAGGAGCCAATATGCTGTTCCTTTTAGAATTTCTTCATAATTTTGCTTAAGCTGTTTTTAATTCATTTTTTTTTATTGTGAGAAGTTAAATTTATTTCCAATATTACAATGTGCAACAGGTTTTCGAGCAAATCATTTCAATAGGATAATCTAAATGAACTTGTCTTAGCATATTGTTCACTTCAAATGTGTTTAAAAAAATTAAAAAGTATTAATCGCTATCATTCAACTTTATTTTGTCTGGAAGCTAATGGAAAAGTAGAGGGGTTTAACACAGCTTTGCAAAAAAAAAAAAAAAAAAAAAAAGATACAAATAGGTCTGATGCAGAGAGTGCAATAGAAACAATTTGTAGGGTAATGTTTTATGGATTATAAAGAAAGTAATTTAAATCCATGTCAGAGTTGAAACAAACAGGTCAAAGATAATCACCTGACAATTACATTTTATTCAAACGGCAAATATGCAATTAAATATCATCATTTTTAGCCTTGAAATAAAGGCTGATTTCATAAACCATTAAGAGGCTTTAAAAACAGGAAATAAAAATTTGAATACAAAAGCGTAAAGGATAGGAAGCAATATTTGCAGTTTTAAAAGTGATTCTGGAGTAAATAATAAAACATTGGATGATCCCATTTGAAAGCAACTACCATAAAGTTAAGCAATTAGTGATTTTACTTAATTTCTTTTTAGATGTCATTGTGCTCTTTAGTTGTGTTTGTTCTCCATTTTGATGTACTGATATAATAAGAGTTAAAATTGTTGCTTTTTACCGTGTTTTGACTAGTACAATTTGTACAGATATTGTACAAAATGAACAGTACAGACTATTTTAACTTTTCACAATAGCAATAAAACTGTTAAGATTTCTTTTGGTTAGCACTTCTAATGTAGATCTTTTGTTAAAGCAATGTATGCAAAGTGAGTGCTGTGTTAGGAAAGGATACCCATGTATATCATATTTTCTATGGATATTTATAACTGTTTGTTATTATTAAAATTTTTAGATAGTATATTTTTTTAATTCTTTGGTATGTTTCATATTTTTGTGAAGTTGAGATTTTTATTATTACATGCCTAATTCATTATTACAAAGGTAATGGATCATTTTTACATAAATTAATACTAGCAATTATTCTGTAGTATTTTATTTATTTTATAGGGAGAATTACAGCTTATGATATCGCAAGATTTTCTCGAGAAGCCTTATCTAGTCAAGTACATACTCTTACTCCTGAACATTTTCCTCAAATATTAGAATCATCAGAAGCCTGGTTCATTGACTTTTTTGCTCCAGTAAGTCTAAATCTCTTTCTTTCCTCACTTTCATTTTTATGTGTAAAAAATTGTGTCACCAAATGTGTTTTGAGTATGGGCATTAATTAGTCTTGTTATTCAGTGTTCCATGATATGAAAATTATCACCATTCATTGAATATATAGGTACATTCAGCTCCCTTTTGTAAGACATTCTATGTATACTTATTTTTTGCAGTTTAGTAACTCATAAAAAAGGGCTCTTTTCCTATTGAAGTTTTTTTTTTCAATATTCTTTCACTGTATTATGTTATAATGAGCTTGTTATTGCATGAAAGAGGTGAAATGTGATCTTCTGTGAGAAGAAAGTTGAAAGCAATAAAAAGTAAAATTTTCCACTTTTTAGTTGAATATTAGACCTTTAACCAATATATAAATCTCCTGTATGTTCACTTTACATGGATTTTGAAATCTTTTGTAATGTTACTTTACATCAGGCATGTCAGACTGAGCATCTTGAGTGGGCCAAATGGCCATTAGTGTACAATAGTTTCAGCTGCATGAAACAAAATGCCATTTTCATACTGAGTGAAAAAATAAGTAAATGCATAAAATCTTACCTAACACTGTAGCTCTTAAAAATAGAAGGAACATAAGGAAATCTGGATAGTGGGTGGATCTCTATTATTTCTTTCCTAACATTTGTTTTACTATAACCAACTTTCAGATTTCTGGAGAAATATTGCAATTTTTAGAACAGAGATCTGATGAATATCTTTTAACCTAAATCTTGTTCCTTTCCATAGCTTAGAAAATCTGTTCTACTGGTACTTACTACTGAACATGGAAATCATGTGTGATGCAGATTTTCATCTGTCCAGGAACCAAAAACAAGTATTTGTAAAATTTGGGTATACTTACTTCACTGAATTTTTGCCTTGGAGTAGTTTTGTAAAGACTCAGCACGTGAGGTCGTAAGTACACTGCACAAAAAAATGGGGGGGGGCAGTTCTATATCTCCTGTTCTACTGGGCCGATTGACAGAATTCATATTGCATTCTTCATGTTTCGAAAGCACGACTTAAGATATATATTAGATTTCTATATCGCACTATTCTAACATAGGTATTTTGACACAAAATCGGACTTTTTCTTAAATAACATACCCTTTTTTTTTACATATTTCGATTCTATGACTCAAATTATTCCTAAATATTTGTAAAATTTATGGAGAAATTCAACGATTTATGTTGGCTCTATTTTTTTTCAGGTTGCGCCAAGTTTTTTCCACTTGCCAAACATAATAGTAATGGCTACATATTTTCATTTCCCTTTTTTACATTGTGCGTGAGAGGGGAAAAAATCACAATCATTCCTTCTTTCAAATAATGTTCTTTATATTATATTTTAAGTAATTTTTTTCTTTTTTGAATTTCATTTAAATTGTTTAAGTTGCATGGTTTTTCTCAAACAACTGTTTTAAAATTTTCTATTTACTCATTCGAACTGCATAATTTAAATAAAAAGGTGCATCATTTATTTTTTTCAAATAGTTTTCTTTATATTTTTAATCATAGTTATTGTTTTAGGTAATTTTTAGACTTTTATTTTAATTGTTTGTGTTGGCATTGTCTCTTCAGATAATTGTTTTTAAAATTTTCTATTTATTTCCTTCAAACTGAGCATTTTAAATATATTTATTAATATAAATTTTTCAGAATTTGATTTTATTTATTTGAATTGCATTTCTTTCGGAAGAATACTTTGTGACACAGACTACGATGCATTTGAAAACTGCATATACGAGGGCTATCCAGAAAGTAGATTACGTTTTGGAATAAAAAAATAAACAAAGTATAGGAAACAAATTTTATTATATACAGATGAAAGCCACACTCAAATACTACTTTTCTACATAGTCACCATACAAATTAAGGCATTTATCGTAGCGATGTACGAGCTTGGAAATTCCTTCGTCGAAAAATTCGGCCGCCTGCGCCTTCAACCACTTCGTTACCTCTTCTTGCCTTCCATCTTGCACAAAACTTGTGGTAACCAAGCTTTTCGCTGATGATTTTCGTGCAACAAACTTCGCGAAATTTGTGGAAAACTCAAAGAAAGTTCCGTTATTGTGAAATTTCGATTTTCACGGACTTTAGCATCGACTTTTTTCGAGAAGTTCGGCGGTCACTATGCTGGGGTCTCCCACTTCGATCTTCGTCGTGAACATTGGTTTCGGCCATTTTGAAATCTTATGACCCACTGACGCACTCCACCTTCAGTGATAATGTTTGTCCCCATACACTTCACGAAGCTGCCGATAGATTTCTATCGGTTTACAGTTTTTTTGCAGTCAGAAACCTTATTACTGAGCGCACCTCGCAGCTCGCGGGATTTTCAATTAACGCAGACATTTCAAACCGTCACAGTATCTGAACGGAGCACAGCACGAACCTCTCACTAGCACGGCTAGATGCAGACTGAGCTGCGCAACGCTCTGACCCCAAGATGGCCGCGCTAGCCCCGCCCCTAGCGGACACAGACGGAAACGTAATCTACTTCCTGGATGGCCCTCGTATTAAAAGAGAAAATACAGTAAAGCACAGTTAACACACCTTTCAATGTTCCATTCAGAAAAGATATATAAATAAGAGAGATGTATAACCGATATTTTAACTTGGAATAACTTGCATACATTCCTTTAAACAGTTTTATCATTGTGCCCGTTGCTTTACACAATTTTATCATCCTACATTTAGTTTCTTAAAATGTTATTCATATTTTAGTCAAATATTTTATTTTTGAAATTGCAAGAATCAAATATCATAAGATTTAAAAAGTTTTAATTAAAAAAAAATACTAAATTTTATACAAAAATTAGTTTTTAATTCTTAATGGTGTGCTCTTTTTCTTCAGACATTCATCAAGTTTGTTAAAAAGCATCTAACTTTTCGAAACCTCTTGGTATTTCTGACATCCATTTTAAATAAAATTATCGCCTTCCATTTCATAAAGGCCCACAAATGGCCGAGCGGTAAAGTAGCTGAACACTGCTAGTTTACTCCGGGGTTCGAATCCTGGCAAACAGACTGGTTGCATGGGCGTTTTCGTGGTTTTTCTCATGTGTAACATGTATGCCAGCTGGTTTCGCTTAGAAAGTTCTTCACGAAGGCATGCTTCCTTTTAGGTGGATATCCCTACTTTGCCATAATTTAATAATCCAATTCAATGCATTTCATCGGTATTTGGTCAGAGTCTTTATCAGTCTTTAGAGGCTAAGCCTTTTGAAGGCATGAGATGAAAGGAAAGACTGGTTCCATCAAGAGAGAAAACATCTTTAATATGATATCCATTTATGTTTATGATATCCATTTATGTTTTTTGGAAGCAGGAGACAGCAATGCACTCGCCGGAAAACGAACCACGGACCTCTTGAATACGCGCTGAGCATGCAGACCACTACACCACGAAGGCACGCTCAGAAGGCGGGAGAAATACCTTATATACTCCCCCTTTTAATGGGTGGCTGGGGATTAGGGATTCAGTCACCAAACCCTGGTGGTGAAGAATTATCATTCACCACTTTTTAGTTCGGGCACCACTGTAGAGACATTAGGTTTTTCTTTTTAACCAGGAGAAATGAAAAATGCGCTCACCAGGAATCAAACCATGGACCTCTCAAATATGCACCAAGCGTGCAGACCATGAAGGTGCACTAAAAAGGCGGGAGTAATACCTTATAATGTCACTGTATAAATTCCTAAATCTTTAAATAATTCGACTGAGAAACCATGGGAATGTTCCATTTATGATACGATATGATGTTCTATGACGTAATTTAAATTTATACAACCATATAGTCGAAAACCAGTCTTTCTTCGATTTAATCTGTTATGATAAGATTTTTGAGTACTTTTCCGTTTCGCCGACGATAATCTCGCCAAGCAGACTTTATTATCGACAACATACAGTATACACATAAGAAACGTTAACAAATGTTAGTTCTAAGAATTTTTAATTTTGAAGGCATAAACATTTTAATATTGTTTAAAATTTTGTGAAAAGCCAATAAATAAAGACAATAAATTTGTAAAATAACATTAGTTTAATAATTTAATATGCTTTCATACTTCAACTTCCTAATTTGCTGGTTCGTGTCACGTGACCCCAAGTGATCTCATGTAAACTACGCTACAAAATTCTAATTTATCTCCATTAATTTCAAGTTAAATCTTAATTTGGAAAACAAGTTTAAATGCAAGAATTACTTCAATTCGTACGAATAGCTTATGTCAAACCGCAGTGCTTTATTTTGCTAGTACCTTCTCATTAGAATTGATGAATTTAATCCTTGACTTTGCCTTTTCTATATTTTTGGGTGACCGGTGTGTCGACATCTTAATTAACTTAATTACCGCGAGTGGCCTTGAGGCATGAAATTGAACTACCTGATAAAAATTCTATGTGATTGTATGCCAGTATTGAAAGAAACAATCAATCTGATAAGAAATGGCTGCGACTTGTTTTGAAAATAAGGTGTAAAAGGTTACCAGCAAGGATATTCTATTTGGCATCAGTTGTACCATTATTGGCAACTATTATCGCCTGTGCTGGCAAAACGGAAAAGTACCGGTTTTTGCCTTTTCCATTAGTACTATCTCAATTGCTGCTATTTGCTGGTGTGCACTCCAAGTGTTTTCTCGTTGAACACGCAACTTCTCTGAAGTAGATTCCCCTTTAAATTTTTGCTTTTTCTCCCTAATTTCCTTCTTTACTTCTACATTTGTTTTCAGTGCTGACACAAGAAGAATAAGATTTTTTGACTATTACACTTCCATAAATTTTGCATTCTTGTCAAATTTTTTGAAATATATGTTGCATTAAATGCATTTCAGCTGAAGATAGCTTTTCATTTTCTAGACATTTTAACTGTAAATAAAGTTTAAAGCAAAGTCCAAAGGATAGATATTTGAATTCAAAGATTTTTGTTAAATGATAAAGAAATAAACCACTCCAGCAGTGCTTATCCTGTACCACGGAGGAGCTCGATTCTTATATTGGGTGCAAACAATCAAAATCATATTATTTAGAGTTTTTAAGCCTAATGATTTCTATATTAAAGAACATGCTTTTTACATAATCTACAGCACAAGAGAAAAATTACTACTTAAAACATTCTTTCTAAGAGGGTTAATGTAAAAATTTATATTTCTCTATATATTTTTAAAGCTGGGACATGACCCAAACTGTTAACGTTCTGTTTGCTTAAAAACATTGTGAAAATAAACATCAAACGAACTTTCTCAGTTTTAGACAATTCACTTTAAATGAAATTAAAGTAGAGTAGCAGACGATAATACGGCGAAGGTAAAAATTTACTCTAACAAATATTTTTTTAAAAAAAGAAAAAAATAATTTTTTTTAAAAAGTTAAAAATTTGAATAATATCATCTGTAATTTTTTTAAAAAAGATCTTTTCATATAGTATTAATAAATATTTATTACACATGATTGAGGGAGAAAATTCATATAACTAATTCTCCGTAAAAAGTTATTTGAAATTTAAGGTTAAAAATATCTGTGGCAAATCATTGTAACAAAATTCATAAACCACATTTGGCGTTATTATCGCTAAAGAAAAATTCCAAATTTCAAAACGTGAAAATATGTAAATTTGTGTATATCGTAGAAAATTTTGAATAAAAAAAACTCTAATTTTTGGCAGGTATGCGTAGAAATACACATACTTTAAGATGATGGTTAAGATTTCATAGGTTATAATTTTAAAGTTTTTCGAAAAATTTATAAAAATTATTTTAAAATACAAATTATTTCGAAATGCGAAAAGAAGAATCAAAAACGTTTCCTAAAAAAAGATATTAATAAATGTATACCAAATTCAATTAATACTGAGGAGCTAAAATTTTGAGAGCTAATGTTTTAAAAACTACCCATGCGATTTTTACAAAACTTGGCAGTCTGGCATAATTTGAGTCGTAGAATAAAAATATACTTACTTAATATGCCTACTATTGCAATATTAAGAACTTAAAAATTTTAATTTTTTATATCATTTTGAGCAATTTGATGTGATAGCTATGAAAAATAAGGGTTTTGAGGATGATAAAATAATATATTTATGCTAGAATTCTGTAAAGTATGTAATGTAATTGATGGAATGACAATAAATTGCATACTACTGGTACTTTTTCCCTGTACGTCTATTAATCAGTCCAACTGATTTCTTTTAAACTCATGCTGTCTTTGTAAGTGAAACTGCTTAATGATAATTACTGGCACTAAGGTTAATTTTTGCATTTCTGATGTACTGCTGTATTTCTAAACAAATTTTAAAATTTTTATTTAAGTTCATGCACAAAAATAAAAAAAAAAATTATTATTGAAAATTATTTATTTTTCGTTTTACTATTTTAACTTTCTATAGTTTTCATAATCAGAGTTCTTTAAAGAGAAATATTATATTTTTGTAATTTTTTAGTGGTGCCCTCCTTGTATGCAGTTCCTTCCTGAATGGAGAAAAGCATCGCACTCCTCTGGTCATTTAGTGAAGTTTGGCACTGTTGATTGTTCCATCCATGGTACTCTTTGCCGTAAAGTAATTTATTAAACTATTTCTTACTCCTGTATTGGACAACTCATATACATACCAAATGTCTTATGTGAAATTTTAAACTGTCTATTTAGAAATAAATATTTTTTTTACCAATATAGCATTGATGGGGCATGGCAGTATGAAATATAAGGCAAAAAAAAAGTATTAGATTAGGATAGATTTTGTGGAAAGTTCTGTTAATTTTGAAATAAAATGAAAGAAGAAAAAACTTTGGTTAAGATGGATTTTTTTACAAAACTTAGAATTGTGGGTTTTTTTTTGTTTTCTTTTGTTTTGTTTTGTTTCTTGCAGATGAAATCTATGTCACTTGGCCTCAAAATCAGTTGAAATTTCATGTAAAATCTATTCCAGTCATATGTCTGTCGTCCCCAAATTTACGCTTCACCAATCTGCTCTAGTCTAGTTATGAAAAGTAAGGAACGTAAAATGAATATGGTAGTTGCCATACCTGTATGTGTATCTGATGCTCTTGTATCAATATGAGCCTGATTAAATGTATGCAGATCAAGACAGAAGAAGCAGACTTCACTGAAGTACAGAAAATTGAATAGAGTAGAGATAAAAAGATATTTTTTTGGAAAGCGTACAGTTTATTTCTGCAAAGCATTGCATGTTTTGATAATAAGATGCCATTTAATGGTCACCAAGTACTTAAAAGCTATGCAAATACTTAAAGCTGAAAGTCAACAAAAGGTGGTTGTGCATGATTTTATTCAGTTTCAAAATGTCATTAATCACTTTAAAATACTGCAGAGATACTCCCATTGGATATCGAAATAGTGCACATGCTGAAATGCAAATATAAAGTAGTCTTTTTAAAAAATTTTGCTAAGTTACCTGAGCTGTGGCTAGGCAATTAAGAATTTTTTTAATTACAGGAATGAAAGTTTTCCGCGTTTTCGCGGAATTCCACTTTTTTGAATGTCACCTGGGCTGTTTCTGAGATCGATGCAGAACCATTGAGAAATCGCGACCGGCAAATGTGTGTGTGTTTGGAGGGGGGGGGGTAAACAGAGGACATGCTCTCTCTCTCTTCCTTTTTGTAAAAAAAACATTGCATCATGCCAGAGATCGTGAAATGCGTTATTTCACATCAAGGCGAAGTAGGTGGGCCTTATGTGGAAAGGCAGAACGAGATGTGTACGAATATCGAATAAAAGAAGAGCAAGCAACCGTCAAACGAGAGCTGACTTCAATAATTTCCGCGATCGGTGCTGGCGTCATCTGTCGGACATATGGATACCTTACTGATGTTATCCGGAGCACGTGTGAGTTTTAGAGTGTGTAAAGTGGCATACTGTAATTCGGAGTGTAGATCATTATATTTCTTTTTTGTTTGTTGCTGTAAGTTTTTCAGTATGAATATCTTAAATCTGAATCATGAGCACAAAGGAGTGAGAATCTAAAAAAAAGCAATTAAACATTGCAGAAAATGAAAAAAAGTATCAATGGATTGTATAAAAGCTACTGAAAAGAAATTGAGACTAGCTCGCAAACAGAAATTAGAAAAGTTGGCTGCAAAAGTAGCAAAAAAGAAAAAGCCTTATTCCCTAAAAATTTTTAATCAGGCTCGAGTGAGACCGAGCCAAAATAGTTATTTTTTATATTCCTCCTTTAACTATGTTATTTTGTAACTATATTATCTCACATGACTACTTTTTCTGGTGTTATATAAAGAAAGTACTGTTTATTAAACTAAAAGTGAAGATAATTGAAAGCGATAGTAACAGTTATATACATGTATATTTTTTTTATCTCTAAAACTTGTCATTGCCTGCAAATGGGCAGTAATATATAACATAAATATGTATATTAGTGTGTTGTAATGCTGTGTACAGTATTCATGTATGAACTGTTAAATTAAGTTACATAAAGAGCATCTTAAGGGTAATTCATTACAATTTCTTGACGATTTAGTTATTTTTTTTTTTTTTTTTACAAGTGGAAGATAAAATTAATAGCAAAATAGTAAGTACAAGTATTATTTTAGTTTAATACTTTTTATATTAAAAGGTTTATATTTTATTAATTTTTTTTTTTTTGTTAGGTTTTGCGTGCGCATTTAGTTTTTGTGTAATTTTATGTCCGCGCATTGTTCAGCTTTTTTTTTTTTTTTTTTTTTTTTTTTTTTTGCCAACTTGCACTTTCATGCCTGTAATTATTTTAACAAAATGTGATCTGTGGAGCATTGCAAGGTCATGGAAAGATGTGTCTGCAGATATTTTTTAAACACCTGGCATAGTTTATGGCCAGCTATATTTCATGGTGGTAGTAATACATGTGATTTGAAGGTTTGGGGATATTTCGAGCAAAAAGCAAAATTTTCCAATTTATTGAATTTGTGAAGGAATAGGAAATAATGATAATAAATGAAGATGGTATAACAGGTGCCTTCCATTATGATGACAATACCCCAGTCGTCTGTCAAGTAATAGAAAAATCTGTAGTATGATTCTAAATACGGAAATTATCATTATCAGTAGTGAATAAAATGACACAGAGGTTGCTGAGAATGAAAAAAATTTTGATTGACAGTTTAGTGAGGATTGACATAGAAATTTCAGGACTTGAGCAGTGAAACTTTGTAAATTCATTACCTCATAAATAACTATTTCATATTTTTAATTTTACAATTTTTGCATGTCATCTTAGTTTTAAAATGATGATCTAAAATCCGAAAATTGCTGAGGTTGTAGTGATTTTTGCATCTCAGACTTTGTACTGTACAGTATTAAAAATTCATAAAAGTGTCTGATACTCTTACAGGACTTCCAAAGTAATAGAGGTAGAAAATTAGGTAAAGTGTCTTATCACAACCTCTTCCTTCCTTCCTCCTTTATAAGAATATTTTGCTTTTCAATAAGAAGGCATTAACTGAATGATATAAAAATCTGCATCATTTTATTCAAAATGTAAGCCTTATTTTTTAAATTGAATTTTATATTTTGCATCATTAATTCATTATAAAAAGATTTGATTGTTTGAAAATTATTAAGTAGGGTAATTCTCCTTAATTATTATAAATATTGTGTGAAACAGTAAAATTGTTTAATGGCATGAGGTAATTTAATGTACAGCTATAAATATGACTTTTATGAGATCTAGCAGTTTAATTCTTGAAAAGAAGGAAGTACAATAAAACCTCACTATCTCAGCTCTTGGGTAGGTCAACATTCCAGAAAATTCAACTTCTGTTATGGGTTTGTTTGGTCTAATAAACTGTGCTATTAAAAAAAAAAAAAGAAAAAAAACTCCTTGCTAATTTCACATTACAAAAGGAATACCTGTTTAAATTAGCATTAATTTCACTTCCTCTTAGATAAAGTTCCGTGAGTACCGTTTATATAAGTCACAAAATGAAATTGGGTACTACAGAGCTTGCTTTTGCTGAGGTAGACCCTGAATAACACCAAAAGATGATGCTAAAAATTTAATCATCAAAAGAAAAGAAATGTATGAAAGGTTGACCATATAGGACAGATATGAATCCAAATCTGAATGTGGGAATGAAAAGCGTTAAATTGCTGCCAATATCATCTTATACTGTAAATTTTTTTTCCGAATACTTTAAATATGCCAAATTAAAATATTTCAAATGAAGTATATTGAAGTAACAAACATTTAGAGCCAATGTATTATTTTTATTTTATTTTTTGAGGAATATAAAAAGTTTAACATTCAGTTTCAATAGTAAAAAAGTTTTTGTTATAGCACAAAGTCTGTAGTTTTTGAAAAAAATAGAGTAAAAAAATTGCAAAAGGTAGTATGTGTATGTAAATCATGTTTCTGTGTGGATATGCATATTATACAAACCTGATTCTAAATTTCTGTTTTGCATTGCAGTATAACATTAATTCATATCCTACTGCCATCCTTTATAACCATTCTGTGCCTCATAAGTTCACTGGCTCGCATTCTCATCATCAGATTGAAGAATTTGTGGAGGTAGTATAAGAAAGCTTTTTATGTCCTGTAATAGTTTTGTATATCATTTATTGTATTTTTACGAATTTTGTACATAGATAGAGGATTTTAGTGTAACTATATATGAAATTGTTGTATTTTCTGTCCAATGTGACATGAAAAATTTAGAGGGAAAAGCTATGCCAAAAAGTAAGAATACAAGGGCAAGTCCATTTAACATTGAATAAATGGTTATCGGTAATTTGGCGAGATAAGGACAATCTGGCAACGGTTTTGTCATGAATGCATTTGGCGGCATTTAGGTCTGGTCCCTGTATCATCATTATAAGTATTATGTTTGAATAAATGTAATTGATGTTATGTGTAGCTGTAACCGTAGTTCGGTCCTCACATGCCTTCCAGTAATTTCAAGAAGCAGAAAATACTTGAAATAGCTTAGCAGCTGGGTGAAAACTATATAAGGCCAAAGAGAGCATCTGCTATCAGTTCCTGTTTCAAGCAGTTCAGTATGAGTTTGGAGTACTGAGATATCTCCGGGTGAGCTTTCTCTTCAGATGCGCTTTCTATTGCATAGAGCTTAAATTTCTTAGTAGTTTGAAGTATAACTAATGACTGTACTCTGTGGTACTGTGAACACCTGTACAAGTATTTCTGTGGAAGATTCCGGAAACTGAAATGTTTCTTTTGATAAAATTAATTTTATCAACCTATAATCGGACCTGTGTGCATTCAGTATATTACAAGCACATACGCATATGCATGCAATGTTTTTTATAATGGGAAAGACTCTGTTTATAATGTATACTCGGCCCACCAGCGGCTGAGCGGTAAAGTCGCTGAACACTGGTAGTTCAGTCCAAGGTTCGAATCCCGCGAACGGGCTGGCTGCATGGGTGTTTTCATGGTTTTCCCCATGTGTAACATGTATACGAGCCAGTTTTCCTTAGAAAGTCCTCCACGAAGGCATCCCTTTCCCTTAGGCAGATAGCCCTAGTGTGCTTTGCCATAATTAAATACACCATTACCACATATAATGTATACTCGTGCAAATTATGTCTATTTTTATGAAAAGTATTAAACCAAAGATAATAATTATGGCACCAAAGAATTCTGAAAATATTCAGAGTCAAATACATAAGCATACACAGGTGTGTCTGCAAAGCTGTGATTGTGAGGGGATATAAGCGCACCGAGTTTTTGATAATTTGTATTCTTATGCTCTTTCATAATATTCGGTATGTTTTTCATAAGAGTTGGGTAAATCTTATAAGCTGTTAGGTAAAATGAGTAACCATGAATGTATGGAAGACAGTAAGAGATAGAGAATTGTCAGTAGATGTCAAGAGATTGGAGTCAGACCAATCATAAGCACAGCTTGCTACAGAGCTCACTGAATACCTAGTGTCATCTGCAATTTGTGGAAACAGTCTCAGGACACTGGATCCATATCAAGAACACCTGGACGAGGTCAACCAAGATCCTCAGTGATCAATGTTGATAATTATTTGCCACTTTCAGTGTGGCAATGCAATACTGCTGCTGCTTCACAGCTCTCATGTGAATTGTATATTGCCTCTTGGAGCCCAAGTTTCACAGTCTACAGTTACCCAAAGGCTTCATGACATCAAATTGTATGTCAGACTTGCTGTTTGCCACTGCAGCACACAAGAGAAAGGCATTTAGCATAGTACAGACAACATGCACCTTGAACCAAATTTCAATGGGGTACTTTGCATTTTATAGATGAGTCAAGATTGAGGCTGGATGAGTCAGTATTGTCAGAGTACCTGTGTATGGAGAGAGCCTGGAGCACAATACCATCCCTCCCTCATCAGGGAAAAAGATCATTATATTGGTGGAGGTGTAATGGTTTGGGTATGCATTATGTTGGATGTGTGCACTCCCCTGCATGTCATTGATAAGAGATCCCTGACTGCTATGAGGTATAGAGAGGAGCCTTGTGTTCAACTTTTCCGGGGCACATTTGTCTTGGGTTGCTGCTAACAGACAGCAGTGTTTGTCCACATAGGGCTTCGCTGGTGGATGATTACCTGGAAAGTGAGGATATTTGCTGCATTGATTGGCCAGCCAGATCTCCTATCTGGGATGCTCTTGGGAGGGCAATTTCATCTCGGCATACCCCTCGAAAAACCATCCCAGAGCAGCCTTGCCGCAAGATTGGGATTAGCTGCCTCCTGTGCAGTATGCCATCATGCTGCATGACTTGTCTGGCTGTGAGAGGGTACCATTGCCCATATTAGACTAATTTTTTCTTCGATATGAAAATGTTGACTTTGGACATACCTGCAATATGATGTTTACTGATAATCATGCATATGTAAAATAACTTTTGATGGTAAATCTCATTCTCTGTTATAAAATTACTTTCATACCATATTTGATTAAAATCTGTTTATTAGTTTTTCAGAAATTTGACATAATGTGCAAATTCATTCTCAGTTTTGCATATGAGTGTGTATGGCAGATTGAAAAAAAAATTAATAAAAGTGGAATTGCCAAAATATGTTTACTTCAAAAATTTTAGCTGTATAAAGCATTCAGTTTATAAACAGCTTATAAGTAACAGTTGAGAAGTGTGAAATAAATATTCTTATGAGATTAATTAGCAGAATATTGTAATTTTGTGATAACTAAATTCCTCATTTTTAATCTTTTTTTCACTTCTAGATTATTTCTTATAATATGAAATTTTATTCACATTTGATGCCAAAGAATTTTAGTATTTTATTATTCTATAATTTTGTTGTTTTATTTAACAACTTCAAGGATTCTGTTTTCATGTTAAATGGGATTTTTTTGGGCTTTATTTATACAGATACTTGTTGTTTTTGATTTAGGACATATTGCACCCCCTTGTCTTAATTTTAAATCCAGAGTTGTTTGAAAAGTTAATAAAAGACAAGAAAGGTGATGAAATTTGGGTGATTGACTTTTATGCTCCTTGGTGTGGACCTTGTCAGCAACTTGCTCCCCAGTGGAGAAAATTAGCAAAAGTAAGTCTGTCCATATTACTAAATTTTTTCCTTTCGTATGCTGAGCGATAAAAACCTTGTAAAATCTACATTTTGTTAAAAAAATTATACTGCTGTGTGTAATACTACAAGTGCAATTAATAAAAAAGCAAATATTTTATTAAATTTTACTGCAGTAAGAATGAGTAGCCAGAGATATTAAAAGAATATTTTTATATGTGCTTTTTATTAAATGTGAGGGGCAAGTGACTGGGGCCCAAATTGATTGCTCTGAGTTTTTTTTAAATCTTAGGCAGACCAAAGTTTTTTTTTATCTTTGTTTTATGTTTGTGTGGTGTTTGATACAGTAATAGCTGTAGTTAAGTCTGTGCAAGAAAATGATGACTTTTAAGTCATCATTTCTAGTAGACTAGTAGTTACAGGGCTGTCAAATGAATGTAGACTGCTCCAATTAAAATGTACAAAATATTACTAGACTATTTAATTGTAAAATCTAGCATCAATATAGCTATAGCAGTTGTCATTTTTGTGTTTTTATTGAAATATGTAAGAATATTGGTTTATTAATAAAGCATGTTAGTAATTAAGCAGAAAATCATATTTTGGATTTTCCAAATGTCTAAGAAAGTGGGATAATAATTTTGTATGTGTTATGAAAATTAGAAAGAGTTATGAAAATTAGAAGAGTCCTTTTAAAGAGTGAATAAAATGCCTTTTATAGGCAATAATTTTATTACACACTTCAACTTTAAAAAAGGTTACTACTTAGATTCTTTGCTAGTAGACAACAGCAAATTTTCCTTCTTTTGAAGATGAGTGCAAAATTGGATGTAATATGAATAAAATCACCAAACTGCTCCTGAGGCTACTAAAATAGGGAATAATTGTTCCATGTTAAATAAGAGCGAAAAAGTTTGCATCAAAGTCTCAAATTGAGAGAAATGTTTCAAATTTATTTTTTGTATGTTGATGTCAAAAATTATTTCTATTTCCCTTTTTTATGATTTTAATCAATAAATTAATTAATAAAAGTTTTTTAATTGAAAGCACTTTTATATTTATGTTATTGTAGCTACAAGCCTTGTAGGTTTCTTTTTGTATTTATAATGTTGCATCAGCTTTCTCTTGGATTTGATATTACATATACAAGCAGACTTATTCTCCCTTCTGCTTTTTTTTCCCTTCTTCTTCTTTATCTTTCTAATCCTTTTTTCTTTTTTAATCTGTGATATTTATTAACTCATGTGATAATTCCCCTTTCCTTCAATATGTCATTCAGCAGAAGTTATTCACAAAATATTTATTGATGTTTTCCATCCAAGGGTTTGAATTTGAGTAACTGTGTTAGATATTAAGTAGAACAAGTTATCATCAGCCAGATCCTCAAGGTTCGATTCTTTGTACAAATTAGTCCAAAATTAATGTTTTTGTCATGGCATCTTTTTTTATCTAAATAATCATTAAAGCATTTAACCAAACACAAAACCGAGTATCGTCTGCTCAACAGAATTAGAGGAACTGGTGATTATACGAAAACCAATAATTGATTGTAAGTATGCAGCACAATATAAAAATATATATTTTTAAAAGGGACAAGAAATTTTTTAAAAAATCAAACAGTTGAAATTGTTTGAATGTAAACAAAGATCATTTTATGAAGAATTCACCTGGTGCCATAAAAAATGATTACAATTTGAAATAAGCATTGATAAATTTTTTCATCTGTCCAGTAAGCCACGTGGCCACTTTGAATGCCTCTTTCCCATTTTTGAGGCATTCATTAATGAAGTGTTCGATGAGGCTTAAAGAAATACTTTTCAATTTTTCCAAAAGGATATTTTGCAACTGAAGGTGCATCAATTGAAGGTCATTGTCTAGCAGTAAAATGTTCTGTCAAATTCAAACCTGAGGAGCATATTAGCCACTCCATATGCGTTATTGTTTGTCCTTCATATGTCTGGTTCACAAGGTACACTGGAAGAGACTTTAATTGTCTTTAATTTTGTTAACCACAGTATGAATTGCATTGTGGTTAATTTTCAGGAATCGTAATAAGTTCTGTTTATTTATTCTGTCTAAAATTTCTCAAGACTTGCTTATCTGAAGACTTCCAGGGTACCTTCTTGAATTAAACTTCTGTGCTTGTGCAGTGGTACGTGATCAGAACATAATCTGTTTGCAGTTAGAAAAAAAAAAAAAAAAAAAGGATAAGGGATGTGTGTCAAGGACATACATAGCTTAAGCAGCATTTTAATGCGTGTTAAGTATATCTGTGATTCTAGAATTAGTTCAGTTGAAAGCTCATTTTTCAAATAGAGAATTCAGTTAAACTGCCAAGCTGAAAATTTAGTCTTAAATACTTGTTGTTGTGACTTTATCTTGCTTGTTGGACTGTAATATCAGAATAAGCCCATAAAATTCATCATATAGAGGAGTGCTAAATTGCACCTGTTAGCAAGAGCAAAGTCATACTGTCACCTGTATAGTACTCAAGGCTACCATATAGGTGATAGTATGACTTTGCTCAGTTCTGCCACCAATTATGAAGAAAGCACCCTGGGGGGGTAGGTCCAAGAGTGTCCCACCCCTCTTCCCCTACCTCAACCTCTCAAGAGGACGTTTGCCTTGTCCCATATTTAGGATGTCCCCAAGCTGCACAGATACAAACATCCATGCCTTCTCCCGGGTTTGAACCTGGGCCCTTCCGCAATGGTGGTGGTCAACTCTTAGCAGCATTCATGCATAAGGCCTCAATGATTTCTCTGTTTATTCATTTGGAAATTGACTAGATTTTGCTCCCTTTTTGCAGTGCTGTTTATATTTTCTTCAGGTGCCAAAACTTATGCCCCATTACTTGAGTAGCAGATCGATCACTGGTAAGATTTTTCTTGTGTACAACATCTGAAAACTTTTAGGTAAATTTCCTTCAATATTATCTTCTAATAACTTCTCCCTGCAGATATCTAAGTTGTAAAATTTAGAACATTTTTCTCATCAGGAAATTTTATTAGCTTGCACTAATTTTACTTCTGTTCATTAGGAAGTGTTCGTATTTAACTTTTTTGAATAAACTCTAATTGCTGTCCAGTTTGTCAGTGATTCCATGTCCCTAAAGACTTCTTTCTTCTAACCTTTCCTGATCCTACTTCCGTACTAAAATTTACGAACTTGCAGTTTTTCTGTTAATTATCTATGGCATCTTTTATGTCTCCATGTGTACCTTACAGGTACATTTAGCCTAGTATCTTTGGTTTTATTTCAGTTGTAAAAAATTCTATTATCAAACCTGTCATATTAAATTACAATAATCAAAAACTCAAAGTGATGCTGCTGTATCTATGCAATATTTATCAAACAGTAGAAATTAAAATTGTTCATATGAAGAAAAGAGAAGTTACAGAATCATTTCCTTGAAATAATTGTTAAATTTCCTGCGTGAGCAATTATAACCAAAAAAAAAAAAAATTGTTTTGATACGCTTTAAAAACTGTCTTTTGATTAAACAGATTTTAGCAAATTTAAAATATATATATATATATATCTTTACTTAATACTTAGCTGTTGTACCTGGTATTTATTGAAAAACTTAACCCATTTATGCCGAAAGTGCTAAAAATCGGAAATTTTAAACAAAAAGTAAGTATTTTGTGTTGTATGGACCTAGAGTAATACAACGTATAACAAACCGTTCTACATTTAGGACGATAGGTATAAGTGGATTAAAATAGTTATTAATTAGCCAAGTGGAAAGTTATATAGTATGATGAGTATATGGGCTGAGTAATTACATTTTATATAATATGGTTTTAACTTTTTAGAAATCTAGGTGTAATCAAACTCATTTAAAGTAACATTAATTTTTCCTCACACATATATATAACTACAAAGTATAATTAAACACACTCAAGTATTATATTCTCTGAAACTGAGTTTCCTTTAGAAAGTTTTCCATGAAATCTCCCCTCCCATTAGATAGGTAGCTCTTGTATGCTTTACATTGTTCGTACAAATAAACATCTGATATCAAGGAAAAAATATTTATAGCATTTCATTTTAATGTTTTCATTCATATTGTATGCAACAGTACTTCACTTCTTGCTTGTCTTTCCTGAAACTGAGCTATAAATAGATGATTTTAGCATCCTCAAGAACAGCTCATGGTTTTCTTTATTTTATAAGTGTTTTATTTATTTTATACTTATCTTTAAAAGGGGGACTTTTTAAAATCAGTTTGTGATGCAGTCTAAATGCTAATTTTCAAAACCAAAGCTTGCAGCACAAAACTGTCATGTTAGTGATATTTAGTCATATATACACACAAAAATATTTTTTTTCTTCGTGCTTAAAAAGTATGATGAAATGCCTGGAAGAAATGATAGTTGGTTAATTGTGGTCCAGACATTCTGGATTTCTTACTTAAATCTGGAGTTTCCAGTTTTGTAAAATGTAGAGTCTGTAAATGGTAAATCTGTAAAATAGACTTTTTAAAATTTTGTTTTACAACAAGTCTATATCATTCAAAAATAGCATGAGTTTAAAAATTTTTGATTGTGGAAAATTTAGTGAGACATCTTGTCTGAGCAGCCTACGTTTGTTTTGTATAGGAAAATTGTTTTTGCTGTTTTTCATATACAGGAACAGAAAAATTTGATATTGTAAAGTTTTGGGCTGAAGTATTCTTACTAAAAGAAGATGGGAAAACAGGTATACCCAGTAAAGACAAAATTGATTTAATCTGTTTTAACTTGCTTCTATGGACCCAGTGCTGAAAGTTTATGTAATTATATGGGTGATATGTCAGAATAGTAGTAGTAGCTTAGATGCTGCATAGTCTAAAATATTATTTATTAAAACTAATGTAGAATTCCTTTGAACTAATGGCCATAGTTAAATAAATAATATCGAAAATCTTCTGCTTATTTAAAATTAAAGCATGTGCACGATATTTTGTATTTCAGGAAAACAAATTTAAATATGTTAAAATTACGATATATATTATCAGATGAAAGTTACTAATTTCTTAGTGTGATCACATTTCTCTTTGAACGACTGCCTGTTTAAAAGATTGTAGCTATAATTTTAAAAATTTTGCTGTGTATACAGTAAAGCTTCATAACATCTTATGCTGACATGGATGAACATTGTTTGGAAAATCTAAGGAAAGAGTGAAATCCTTCATCAGTTGTCTTCCATGCCATTTTTTTAACTCTATGTGTTGACATCATCTTCATCCTTCCCTCCTCCTCCTCTTCCTGATCATCATTCTACTTTTCAATGCATGTGGATTATAATGGGAACAGAATTGTTAACATTTATCCAAGCCTGCTCCTCCTTTTTACTGATACTTACCTTCTCCAAGCATGTAACTGAATCCAAGATGTTGGGTATGGGCACCAAACATTTTTTAAAACCCAGAAAAGCTTCGTTATTGGACTCATCATCTATGAACATATTCATAGGCCAAAATTTTTACTAACAATGATATATTGTTCTTTATATCTTTTCAAACAAGAAACAAAGTAAATTTGTCATCATTCAATGGGAATTGTTTCTGAAAATCATAAGCACTATCGTAAAGTTCACATATGTACTCTTAAAAGAGACTGATCGTTTATATTCTAAATAATTCCTTGGTCCATTGATTGGTTAAGGATTTTGAGGTTGGACAGCAGAAACACAAATGTTCCATATTTAAGTCTTCAGATTGTTAGCTTATAGATTTTTTATCTCATAAGCCTAAATTTTAAGTTTAAATTTAGACCTTCAAAATAGGGTTTATACAAAAACCAAATTTCTTGAAAAACCAGTTTTCAAATGTTTGTCAAAAAAATAAGATAGGGGGAAATATTTTATTTAAATTATATAAAGTAACAAAAAAAAAAAAAAACGAAATCAATATCAAAGTCAAAATATAAAAAAACTAAGGATTACATATACATATTACTTACACAAAATAACAAAATCTCAAACAAAAATTACAAATAATATTTATATTATTTTCACTAATTTTAATTTCTCACTACTACTACTTGTGTTCTACTTGTGTTCTTTCTTGAATTTGTTCTTCTAAAGCATATAATGATTTCAAACTTACTTCAGTGTTTAAATTTTTTAATTCATTTGACAGAAATTTAAATATACCTTCACTTCTTAGTAAATTGGCTTGTTAGAAAAAAATGTGTTTGCTGCCAGTTGAATAGTAGATCAAATAAGTTTGAAGTTAATTTTTACATAATAATATCAATTCTTTAAACCGGTTTTCGAATGTGACAACTTTACCTTAAAAATCGGGTTTGAAAACCTGTCAATCCCTACTTCAGAAGTGTTATTATTTTAAAATTACTGGTTAATTGGGTTCTGGTTATGAGAAATTTTATTGTATGGAAAACTGCACAAAATGCATGGATCAGGGAATCGCTGTTATGACTATTAAAGATAATTCATTGTATAATTGGACTGCTTACCAAAATTCTTTACATTCCGTGAACAATTCTCATCTTTCTAGCAGTTCATTATCTTTAACACTTGTCACTAAACATACTGCAAGTTTTAATATGATACTTAAGAGTTAAGTGAAAAGTCAAATCAAAATGTCTTGCTGATCATACTGAATTTTCAATTTTTAGCAATGAAAAATATAAACTCAGTAGCTTCCAGAAAGGTCCCCCCGCAAAAAAAACACAAGTTACACTTAAGCAAAACACAATTATTTTTAAATTTTGAGAAACCAAATTCACAGGCATCTATATGAAGTGGTGTAATGAAATATAAATTAGTTTTTATTATTTTTTTCAAAATTATACGTTTTTGCTATGCTAGTGTAATAGTTGGAAGATATGTGTATATGCATGCATATATGTATGTATGTGTTTCACATTCATATTCTGAATTATATGAAATTTTTGCAGACCTTTTACTGCACAATGTATTTCATGATTTTTGAAATGGGGTTATAGTCACCCTTGAGTAGCAGATCCATTAGCGCAACCTAGCATCATCACCACCAGAGAAAGCTCTTTCAGCCAACAGCTCTGTGATAGTGAGTGAAGGTATGCAACCTACTTTTATATCCTTCTTGAAGGGCCTCTGACATTTTCCAGGAGGTTAGCATGAATTTGCATACTGGTAATGGTCTCTAGTCAGACTTGCAATATTTTCAGTAGCAGCTGTGATCAATAAAACATCTGTAAACACATTGGACAGTAGTCTGCCATACAATCTGTCATTAAGGGGTCTTGATAAGTTAAGGGAGCTGGTTAACTGTGGTCAGTTTTCAGTTCTTTCAGAACTATATATGAAAACTATATTTTGTTGCCTATGGTGCAGCCATTACAGAGGCATTCATTTCTCATCTTCTGAGCAGAATGCATGAATGGAAATAACGCAGAGAAAACCATTATGTATTCCTATGCCCCATATCACCCCTGTTTCTTCAGTCCTTCAGAGTGTTATATTCCATCTCCTGAACGAGCTAATGTTCTCTTTATTGCTCCTTCAAAGCATCTTGTGAGCAAAATGTTTTGTTTAGTGTATTTGGAACCATGTAATACTTTGGCACCAATAATAATTTTATGAAAAAGGCTTTTTCATCATAAAATCTTCCATCAAGTGAAGCTTATTTTTCTGAATATCGTCATTTTATATTGTGCAGGTATTTTTTTTAATTGCTTTAAAATGTAATACATGTTGAGCTTATTTAATCTAATTTTTTTTTCACTTAGATGCTAGTCCGTACACCTTCTGTGCATATTGCTGAGATTGATTGTCAAACTTACTATTCTTTGTGTAACACTAATGAAGTAAACAGTTATCCAACTATAAGGTTATATCCAAGAGGGAAAATGGGACCCAATCGATTTTAGTGAGTAGATCTTTCTGGCTTAACAATAAAATGAATTCAAAATTTATTATTATTTAAACATAAATTTTTTGTAAACTCCAGTTTATTATTAAGTCATGATTTTTTGCTCTTTTAATACTATGGATTCAAATATAAATATCTTAATTTACAGTTCATTCAATGGATGGAGTAGAGATGCATCGTCACTCCAAGCTTGGATTTATAACTTCTTACCATCAAAAGTTCAATCCCTAACAAGTTCACTTTTCAAAGAAGTTTTGGCAGATACTGAACCGTGGGTTATTGATTTTTATGCACCATGGTGTTTACACTGTCAGACGTTTGCACCTGAATTTGAAAAAATTGCTGAGGTATTTATAATTATAATTTATATATATAATGCAGTGTTCTAAATTTCATTCTAAAAATTGAAATTTTTGTCAAATGTAGATATTATTATTTATCTTTCACTGCATTTGTAATATCTGCCACAACATATATTGTGTTCAAAGGCCTGTGTTAAGAGTTTATTATTAAGTACTTATTTTTTTCTTAATGTTTTGCATTGGTTTCTCTTTGTATTAAAATTGTAGGATCACCCCCTTTCAGCTTATATACAGGTTTTGAACTTTGGGAATTTTTTAAGGAAAAATGAATTCTCAGCTTATATTCAGAAATATGTGGTAGTTGTGTATTTAAGCTGAGGGTTTGAATGGTTGTAGATTTCGTAACTTCTGGCAACCTCGCACTATAGTTATGTGTTGTTGCCAGCTGTGCCAGTTTCTATCAACTTCAGGCATTTTGTTAGCCAATGTTTAGATACATGCTGTTAATTGCTTGAGGCAGTTTAAGTAGGCCATTTTAGTGTAGTCTTCAACTACATTACTTGGATTTAACATCTTTCTTGTTTCAAATACCTGTCAGTAATGGAATTATATTCTGAAACACAAGTGGTCCCATCTAATTTAAAGAGCTCATTAAAATGGTTACTTTAATCTTCCTAAGACTTAATTCAGACTAAATTGATAATTCACTTGTTTCTCTAGTTGGGTCCGAAGGACTTTGACTCAAGTTTCTAGACATAGCAGAATCCTACAAAGAATGATAGAATGAAATGGGAAATACTGTAAAAAGACAAGGCCATTGTTGGGAAGTATAAGATCAAGTTAATAATAGGAAGGCAGTTTGATAAAATGGGATTAATAAAGAGCAAGAACTGAGTTGAGTGGTGTAGAGGTAGCCTGTAAAATTGAAAAATCAAAATGTTGAAAATTGTAAACAGAGTGATTAAATTCTGAAATTTAATTACAGAAATAAAAGAATTTCAAAATGTAAAATTTAATGTTTTAAATAAGGAAAATAGTGAAAAATTAAAAATGAATGGTGAAAGGAAATTAAAAATTGAAATTAAAGTCTTAATTTTAATGAAAAAATTAATTTGTAAATTAGAAAAAAAAATTAAAATTAAAAGTGTTTTTTTTTTTTTTCAAACTTTAAATTACTAAGTATTTTAAGTGTGCTTAAAAAAGTAAAGATGTTAATAAATTCTAAATGGGTTTAAAACGGAATTTAAATAAATATATCATTAATTTAAAACGAAAAGTGATGTGTAGGGAGTAGAAAAGATTGTGAAAAGAAGAGTAACAGTAAAAAAAAAAATTATTTTATTTTTTAACTTTTCACAATTTATTTTTCCTTTTTAAACTATGGTTTTCCCCATGTGTAACGTGTATACGAGCCAGTTTCCCTTAGAAAGTCCTCCACGAAGGCACCCCTTCCCTTAGGCAGATAGCCCTCTTGTGCTTTGCCATAATTAAATACACCAAACACACCTTTTTAAACTATTTCATTTCTGTAATTAAATTTCAAAATTTAATTACTGCATTTACAGTCTCCAACATTTTCAATTTTGCAGGCTATATCTATACTACTGAACTCAGTTTTTGCTTTTTATTATTTCCATTTTATCAAATTACCCTCTTACTACACAACTTGATTCTGCATTTAACAACAGCGTTCTCTAAATTCTCGTCAAAAATTCACCACGAGGTTTTGAATATTGGCTTTTTTTTCCCTATTCCATTCATATTATTTTTCAATTTAATTAATTGATTCAGTTTAATATTTACTCAATTCTTTGTCATAATTTTAGGTGGTCCACCAGCGGCCAAGCAGTAACGTCACTGAACACTGGTAGTTCGGTCCGAGGTTCGAATCCCACAAACGGGCTGGCTGCATGGGTGTTTTCATTGTTTTTCCCATGTGTAACGTGTATACGAGCCAGTTCCCCTTAAAATGTCCTCCACAAAGGCATCCCTCTCTTAAGGCAGATAGCCCTCGAGTGCTTTGCCGTAATCTAATAAACCAAACCAAACCAAACCAAACCATAATTTTAGGCAAATTAATTTTATATTATTTTCAATTTTAGGCAATAAACCTTCCATTCATTTGCATGCCCCCCCTCTATTTGGAAAGCCTTTTTCGGGAGGCATAAATTATCATTAAAACTTATTTATTTTACTTTTTAAATAAATTTCCCTCCAAAATAAATTAGTGTCATTTCCAGAAAATTTTAATTTTAAAATATATATACTTTTGATTTGCAATAGTTATATTTGATTTACAGTGTTTTTTAGCAGTTTTGCATTTTCTTTGGTTCACAATTTATTTCAAGTATTTGTTTCACCCATTGCTTTTAATTTACCCAATGGTTTTCCTGATCTCTAATTTTTAGAGTTCTTATTTTATAGTATTACTTGATTATATTTTGATGATTAATTAAAATGTAAAAAAAAAAGAAAAAAAAACTTTTAATTTTTATTTTTGTACTTCATTGCATTCTTTTTCTTTTTGAAATTTAATAACCTTAAATTATTATTTTAAATTCATTTTTTAATTTTCATATCACAATTTCTTTCAAATTATTTGAAGAATTTATAGTCATCCAAATATAATTCAGTAAGTGATTGTTAAAAATTCTTGGGCTGTTCTTATTAGTATTCTGTAATAAGAGTATTTTTTATTTAAGATTAAAGTATTCTGTATTTTTATTTAATTATTATTTCTTGATATGTGTGTGCGTGTGCATGCAGTTTAATTTCTTGTGTAAATATATGTTTATTGTAAGAAACTTTTTGAATTAAGGAATAAACAGCATGTATTCTTATTCAATGATACAGTCCTTTCTATTATTTTATATTTTATATGATAGGTAATTATTCTGCATATATTATAAAAGTTTTTTATTTTGAAATGTGGTGCATTAAATAATCTTTTTAACATTGTAGAATTTGAAAGGAGAGGTAAAAGTTGGAAAAATCAACTGTGAAGAGTTCCCAAATATTTTGCAGGCAAGCAGCTGTGCGTGCTTACCCTACTGTCGTATTTTATCAAGGAGCACAAAGAGGAAAAACACAGGTATGTGAACATTGTTATTACTCAAGGTCTTTTTTAGTTTTGTTCTCCTTTCTTAAATTATATAACAATATATATATTAATTTAACAAATATTCTCTCATTCGTATAAAGCTAATTTATACTCAAATTTTAAATTATGAAAATTTAGTTGTATACATATAAAAGATTAATTATTCCTGAAAACTAATTTGCAATATCATTTAAATTCAGAGAGCATATGTAAATTAAGTGCAAGTATCTAAAACCATAAAAAAATATTTAATAATCCAAAAAATTAATCCTAAAACTTTAAGGAATTTTTAAGACTAAATTAATTTGCATAAAGTGAATAATTGTTGAGCAGGCTGGAGACAGATCTTTTCAAGCGAAAGTTGCCTCCAAACCTAACTCTTCAGTTACTCAATTCATGTTTCGTCATCCATATAGGCATGGGTAAAGTATTATTCAAAACAAAAAGTAAAAACCAAATGTAGTGAATTGCTTAAATAAGAAATTTTAACTATTAAAGAATTTTAAGAAATTTAGTAAGCAAATCAACTAGGAAACAAAATTATTAATTAAAAGTACATTGCTAATGTAATTAAGAGTTTAAATCCAAAGTAATTTAGAAACCCTTGACTATTGAAACCTCCCCGGCACGAATTATGCTTGTAAACCAAAATAAACTAAATGCAATATATAAAATACATAAATAATACTAAAAATGCAAGTAAATGGTAAGTTTTAATTTAACTTACCTTCTAACTACATATTTTGTACATCAGAGAGTGAAGTAGGATTTGCTAAACAAGTGAGTTTAAGTAGTGTGTTTCTGCTAACTGGGTAAATAGAGGTTGCTAATACTATGTAAAGTTGAGTGTGAAGATGCTACTTGTGTGATCTATTGTACAAATACCTATGCTGCAAACTCTAAAGTAAAATGTAAAATGCTTATTCTGTGTGAAAAATGTTGCGAAATGTTAAGGATTGCAAAAACATTAAAAAATGCTAACTGCTAAGGATTGTAAAAATGTGCAAACTGATAAGGATTCTAAAAATATAAGTTCAAAAAAATTTTTTTGAAATAAAGCTCGAAACAAATTTTTTGAAGTAAGGTTAAAAAATTTTAATGAGTTAAAATTTCAAATAAGCATTTTAATTCAATTGAATTAAATTAATTTAAAGTTTGAAAAAATTTTATGTTTGAAAAAAAATTTAAATATGCAGTTTGAAAGGAATGGATAATGATTTTATTGTAAGAAACTTTTTGAATTAAACTGAATTTATTAAATTGAAGTTCTACAATAGTTAAATCAAAACTTTAACTAAATACTGACCAAACGTAAGGAAAATTAGAAAAAGATAAAAATCTTCACTCAATTCAGACTATGATTGAGACTTTTGAAAAGAGTTGGCCCTTCATTAGTAAAAGGAAAGAATCTAGTATAGATTTAAAATATACATATTTACAAATAATTACTATTTACAAGAATTAATCCTTTAACTCTTTAAAATCCTCCATTACCCTCCAGTTAAGATTTAAGGTAATGTTATCATACCATAAAGAGTCAAAAATTTAACTAAAAGAGTAAATGCTTGCCCTTTTAATGTAGAAATTAATAAATTGCAGTGGGACCTGGTTATTTAATTGAACATTAATTAACATATTTTATTTCTTCCTTTAAATCTTCTATTTCAGTACAGATATTTTTATTCTAATTATTTGGCTCTAAAAGTGTAACCTATTACCTTTTTTAGAAATATTAGAGTTCTAATTAATTAGTTTGATAGTTTCAAACTAGAAATCCCTCTTTTTATCATAATTTAATTTTGCTGTGTTTAATAATGAGCAGGTGTAGGTATTCAATACAGGGTTCATACGGTCCTTGAAAGTCCTTAAGTTTTTTAGAATCGATTTTTGGTCCTTAAAAGTCCTTAATTTCGACCAAAATCGGCAGAAGGTTCTTAATTTTCATCATCTGAAATTTATGTCTGTTTTTAGAACTACCATTTTGAGTGTGAATTAGCATTTTGGAGGAATATTTTTGGCGATTCACTGATGTATATGGTTATCTTTTGAATGGGTTCATGGGTTATAATTTGTTTCTATTTCTAATATAAATGATGGGATACTTGAGTTTCTAAGCTAGAAGTGAAACGTAAGCATTTTGAAAGTCATTTTTTCTAATAAAAAGCTCTTAAACAACTTTTCACTTTGGGGGATGTGAATTCTTTTATTAAACAGTTCTAAATTTGGTGACTTATCAACATTTTGGCAATTTTAAGATCAGTTTCTATAGAAAATTTTTATTTCTGGGATATGAGAATTTTTCGGCGATTTTTTTTTTTAGAACATTGTAACATTGATAAATTTTATTTAAATAATGGTAATATTTTGGAAATAACATTAAAATAAAGCATTTTTATTTTTCGCTCTCATATTATAAAGTTCTATTTTGGCCACTTGTTATATAATATTTTGGATGTGAAAAATAAGTAAGTTATAATGCTGTAAAGCACCATTTATGAAACATTTCTTAGCAAAAGCAAAATAGCTTTGTGATTAATTAAAAATGAATTTTTCGTGGTATGAGTTTTTCCCATGTAATTATTTCAGAATATGTATCAGTTTTCTCCAGAGCTTAAATTACCCCCGAGCCCACAGGAGCCCTGCTCTCGTACTTCTTAGTTTTGTGGATAATTCATAATTCTACCTGGAGTCCTAAATAAGAAAGCTGTGACACTTTTTTTATGTACCTGAGCTAAATTTCAGTATAAATTAAATCTCGAAAATTTTATTTTAGTTATAAAATTATATTAAAAATTGCTTATTAAATTTTAATTTGTCTCTTCATATTTTGTTAAATTTTAACTTACACTATTTAATTATTTTATTTTTAGCATTAATTAGTAAATTGTTTTGACACTTATTTTTTAATTATTAATGATTTTATTAGTAATTTATTTATTTATTTATTTTCTCTCTTTCCTGACAGTGTTCTGCAGGGCTCCAGCACATCTAGTTTTAGAATTTAAGCCCTGGTTATCTTTATAAAATTAATTTACACTTTTTCCTGCTTCCCCCCCAAAAAAATATATTTTGGCTTATGCTGTTACGGAATTGGTAGGGGTAATTTTTCTTTAGGCTCTTAGACATCACAGCTTGGAAAGTTTAGAAAGATATGAAGTCAAGATGTATAGACCCATGATTCTAGCAGATGCCAGAAAAATGTGACAAAATGAAAAATGTGTCCAGGGTATTAACACATAATTTCTTACTTTTTGGAGAACATCTGGAAGAACAATGAAAACGTTTTAGTTGAATGTTTTACTTCTGATACTAGAATCTTTTTCTTAACATTTTTATCTTCCCTTTATTTTCTATACTTTTCACTAGACACAAGCATGGAAAATATCAAAAATGCTTCTAATCTTATCGTATGGACAGGCATTATAGAAAGAAATTTTTTTACTAATAAAGAAATTAATAACTGACAACTTAAAAGTTTCATCTAATGTGTCTTAATGCATCCTAAACATGGCTGGCACTATGCCTTTTCCCACCTGATACAGTCTCTGTGGATCTTAAATTTTGCTGCCTAATGCCTTTCTAAATTATGCTTCCAATGCCTGTTCTAAATTCTAAAAGTTTTGCCATTTCTGGAATTTTTTTGCTCGGTGTGTCACTAAATTCTAAAAATTATGCAATATCAGCTCTGTAACCGGAAACTTATCGTATATATTTATTATTTCTTCTGAATGTTCATATTACTAAAGAAATAAAATTATCAGCTTTTTCTATACATTCTAAATGCATTTAGTTTATTTAGAATAACACAAATCTTTATTTAAATCCAGAAATTCTAAAATGAAAAGTAAACGTGGAAGAAAGAAACTGAATTCATAAAAAAAATTATTATTCAAAGATATGTACAGTTATTATTATGTAAATTGCCCAGTTGTTTACAATTTCAGCCTTTACTATTATTTACCACTTCTATTTCCTCATCAAAATGCAAATCACTTAGAATGTTTTTAAACTGAGGTTTTTGAAATGTAAGACAAGAGTGTTTCTGACCTCCACTTGATCCCTGCATTAGTTCCTGCCAGCTCTGATAATTTGTAATTATTTGTCTTTGCATTACCGCTGTGGACATTTGAGTTTGTTATGATGATAGAGTTACTGAGCCAGCTTAAAATGAAATTAAGTTGTTTAGTCTTTGACCACTAGTCAATATTTTTAGTTTGAATTTAACTCTTCTTGTTCAATTACATCCCCACGAGCAGTAATTGATTTTGTTAGCATAAGAATATGCCTCTATGTTCTAAGTACTTTAAAAAAAAAAAAAAAGCTTATTTAAACCTTTGTCTGTTTTTGTAGTTACTTTCAGACATAGCGATAATTTGCTTCGTATCTGCCAGGGTTTTTTTTGACTATTTAACTTTTACCAGATCAAATAAACCCTCATAGGTATATTGTGGAGAGGTTGACAGGTTAGGAGATAAAACACACTGAAACTAGTGACGATATTCTTTTGCGTATTGAGACAAATTTCTAATTGTTAGAAAAGATTCTTAAAGAGAAGGAAATTTATATAAATTAGCCAAAATATCTGGGAAGGCTTCAGATTAAAAAGACACATAAATATTTAGCTTTTAATGTGTTATTATCCTAATATCATTTTAGAATTAATGTCATAAATTACAAGTATTTTAAACTGTGAAATTTCATTAGATTGTGATTTTTAATAGGTCCTTTTTTAACAAATATTGTTAAAAAAGGACCTATTAAAAATTTTTAACAAATATTGTTAAAAAATAAAATTTAATAGTGGCCGTGTAAATCTATAATAACTAAGGTTAATCTAATACTTAATTCCATTACTTATAACTAACTGCTTACCCTTAAAAATGATCTCTGCATATTAAAGCGAGTTATTGCTTTTCATTAACCCTTACCTTGGCCAAAGAGAAAACACAAAAATGTAAAAATTCATGTAAAAACTTATTCTTTGCATCTAGTGAGACTTAAAACATTGAAAAACAACTTATCACCTCTGGTTATTAGAACCTTTAAAGTATATTATCTGAGTCACAACCCCTGGAACTCTACACGAAGCTAAAACACTAACTGCATCAGATAGAGCCCAGCTAAATTTCAGAACTTGTCAACTATGCCTACATCAGGCCTTTTAGGTTTGTTCTGATTGGCAGGTCTCTCTCTAGGCAGTGGTGACAACAGCCAGTCTTTTGTTATGAAGCATGTTGATTATGATCTTATTTCTCATTTTAACCTGTGCCACTTGACATAAAATAGGCTTACTATTTACTAAACCTCTTGACTGAGTGAGTATGTGACAAAATGAGATATAAATAATAATAAATAAACATAAAGGTAAGTTTGTAAAACGTAAATAAAATGTCACTTATCTTCCTTCAAATATGTCCAGTTATTATAAGTGTAAAATATTTAATGCTACTTGATAAACTTCATAAAATTTATTTTATTCTCAGACTTATTAATAATAATGTTAATTAACTTATGTTTAATAATAATGCATCCTACTTACAGATCTATATTTTATTTTTAGGATGGCATTACAAAAGTGAAGTTCAGGCATAGATAATGTTTTTAATTGAATTTATTCAGTTCCAGTCATAGGTCCTTAATTTTTTTCATTAAAGGTTCTTAAAAGTACTTCATTTCCGTGTGCAGAAATGTCTACGAACCCTGTCAATATGATCTTGATTCGTATTAGTTCTGTTAAGTGTTAATCTATTTGAGTAAATTTTAAATTGTTCAATAGCAGAATCATGATTGAAAGTTATAATATCATCAGTGTATCTAAATGTATTTGCAGATAACTTTAATTCGTTTTTATCCAACCCTAGTTGGAATTTATATTCATTAGCAAAAAGAAATTGGTTACATATTTGTGTAGAACTGTTTGCTCCCATTGGAATTCCTTTCACTTGCTGTGTACTTTTAATTAATAATTTTGTTTCCTAGTCGATTTGCTTACTAAATTTCTCAAAATTCTTTAATAAATTTCTAATTTAAACAATTCACTGCATTTGATTTTTACTTTTGGTTTTGAATAATACTTTACTCATGCCTATATGGATGATAAAACACGAATTGAGTAATTAAAGAGTTAGGTTTGGAGGCAACTTTTCCTTGAAAAGATCTGTCTCCTGACTACTCAACAATTATTAACTTTATGCAAATTAATTTAGTCTTAAAAATTCTTTAAATATTTGGAGTTAATTTTTTGGATTATTAAATATTTTTTCATGGTTTTAAATATTTGCGCTTAATTTATATATGCTGTTTCAATTTAAATGATATTACAAATTAGTTAGCAGCAATAATTAATCTTTTATTTGTATACAATTAAATTTTCATAATTTAATATTTAAATATGAATTAGCTTTAGATGAATGAGAGAATATTTGTTAAATTCAAATATCATTCCTTGCAGCAGTGGTGCAATTATTTAGATTAAATTTAACTTTTCTTCTGAAACTATATATATTATTACAAACTTTTGAAAGCTTTTTATATAACTTTTGAAAACAAAATATAAACATGCCTAGTATTTTCGCACATTAAGCTGCAGAAAAATTATCATTAAAGACATAAAGTAAGGAATTTAGAACTAATATTTCACACAGACCAAAAATTGAAATTCATAATTAATAAATTTCAAATAATCTTATAAATGCAACAAAGAATTTTAAAAATGTTAAAACTAAAACTTTTTAAACAAGCAAAGCCCCATTAATTTAAAAAATTAATGAAATTTTAAAAAAAATTAACAAAAATAGAAGAGGAATTCAATCAACCTCAATGCTACTTCTTCAGGGTGGGAGAGGAACATTGAAATCAATTTAAATCTCTCTTCTGCAAAAATCCTTCCTTTTCTGTATCCAGAATTAGCCAATGAACCATTTCAATGTATTTTAATTATAATAGTTCAGCCGAAAATTCTGGCCCTTCCTCAAAGCAAGGAAAAAATAAAGTAAATTCTAATTAGAATAACCTTAAATAAAGAGAATTCTATTTTATAAAAAAAAAAAAAAAAAAAAAATTGAAAACGAAAGTGAAAAAACAAAATACTTTAGTGAAAAATTTTTAAATCAAAATGTTTACCTTTAAACAGATAATCCAACGAGTTAAAATGTGAGTGAATTTATAAAACATAGTTGAGAAAAACCTAATTAGAACACACAGGAGGTAATTAAGAACTTCGAGCACTCTCATTAGACACCAGTCTAAACTAAGAGATGTGAAGCAGTAGGGACATACAGGCTTGCCATTTTGGCTTCATTGGCGAAACTAAAAAACATAAATATGCACACATATAATATTTCTTCTTAGAATGTGTTAAATTTTTAATTTCAGTGAAAAGTATTCATAATTTTAGGAAAATATTTGGAAATAAGTAAACATTTTTAGCTCTGTATAACTATTTATTATTTTATATTTAGAAATGTGCTTTGTTGCTTGTTTCAGAATCCAATTGCAGAAGAAATACATACTCTAACTTTTAATGGAGTTATATCATTTATAGAAGAGAAACTGACCATAAATATTCAGGTATGTTTTATTTACAAAGTTAAAATATCAAAATGGGACTTTTTTTCTCTCTGCTGGTATTTAAATTTGTAATGAAACTGCTTGTACAAGGTTATTTTTATATGGAAAGCAGATTTAATGTGCCAGTCAGTAGTTTTCATGGAGTTTCTTTTTTCTCTTTCGCCGTCCCCTTCCATAGAGTATAGTTTTATTATTACCATGATGCAGCAGGCAAATCAAACTCGGGCATTGTCTATGGGTGGCAGTCTCAAGAGTGCAGCAAAAATTGATAATTAAATTACGTGCTATATATGTGAATCTCTTTGTTTTGCAGTAACGTGAATTTCATAGAAACATTATACTGATTAAATATCAGGTGGCAGAAATATATATATTCATATTTCTAGTTAAATTTTTTTCTTTTTTCTGCGGTTTTTTTTCAGTAATTGGAACAATTAGCAGTTTAATAGTTACTTTTCAGATGTATGTCATAAAAAGTTTATGAATCAAATAGAGCAGGGACCCTCAACTAGGGAAAATTTCATAGTTTCAGAAGAGTTTTCTCTTTTATTTACTTATTGTGTATTTATGAGTATAAAAATCTACTTTTATTCAAGATTTGGTGTTTGTTTTAGGGTCACACCAGAGCAGATTATATCTTGATGATTAACCTTTAAAAGACTGGGGAGCTTCGAAAAGTTTCATTTAAAAGGTTGAGTAATCCAAATGCATTCCACCCCTTTATAGCTGCCATTGTAAAGGGAAACTACTGCTATTTTGAAACCTTTCTTTTGGGTCGCCTTTGGAGGTCGCTTTTGTTAATTTTCATAATACAAAGAAAATTCCTTTCTTTTCTGTGTCTCTTTTTCCTTCAACTAGGAAATCATATGATGGTGAAATCCCATAGCTAAGTAATTGTCGAATAGTAAAATATTAACTTTTGACTCTGCATTATAATGAAAATTGGCCTTAGCAGCAAATACATCCCTGGTACACCTAAAATCAGTACATTGTCTAATCGGTTTTTATTTGTTTTCAAATTGAATTTATTTTAGAATTTCATGTACTGAAGGAAAATGATGTTTAACTATATTTGCCTCTCGTATAAAACACCAGTTAGCATTCATTTTGTTATAAAGTTTTTTGTAACAGCTTATATTTATATATTAAACTAACCCCCTTGTATATTTGTGATATTAGTTTCGTTTACCTTTTTCATTGGTATTCTTATTCATTTTTTTTAATTTATTGATTTTTCCCCATTGTATCATTAATTTTTTTATCTTTCAACTATATCATTGTTCATTGTTCTTTCTTGTGTTTTTGCCATAAAAGCTTTTTATTTCTTCTTTAGCGTTTTTTTTTTTTTTTTTTTTTATATTCTCTTTTACTATAAAAGAAAATATTTTATTGATTATATTTTTATTGCATTGCATTTTGCATGTTTCAAACAACGTTAAGTACAAAAATTAGAATAAAAAGCGGGAGAAATACATTTTCGATAACAATGAAAAATTGGCAAAATTAATACTTATATCATAAAATTTCATATGAATTTATTAACTTTATTTATTAATTTATATAGACCCACTAGAGATTGAGCAGTAAAATCGATGAACACTGATAGCTAGGTTTGGTTCACATTCTGGTGCTGTATGTGCCATCATGTGTGGCATGAGTACCAACCAATCTCCCTTAAAAAGACCTCCATGAATTGGGCAGATGGCCCTTTGTGCCTTGGTCATATAAGGACTGGAATTGTCATAAACAGATAATTATCCTGTCAAAATACAGATGATGTTATGTAAATCACTTCTGCAAGAATTTAACTTGCATTTTCATTAAGCACAATAATGTGAGAAATACTGAAATTACAGATGTAATTAAAATAGCATTTCCCATTATTACTTCACCACAGTGACAACAGTTTCATTCTTAATTTTTTTTTTTTAAAAAAAGGCTTATGCAGGAAAGTAATCCAATCTTTTGGTAAAATATGAAATAAGATAAATTAGATAATGTAGATAAAATTAGATAGTATAGATGAATTGGATTGTATGATTATGCTAGTGCTGTTTGCCTATATGAAAAAATTACATCGTTAAGAGCTTCATTTATTATGTCCTCCGCCATTAGGCACTACTCAAAAAGGGAGGGAGGCTTCATGGAAGACTTTTTTAAGGGGAACTGGCTCATATGTACGTTACACATGAGGAAGGCCTCAAAAACGACCGTGCAGTCAGCCCATTGGCCGGGACTCGAATCCCAGACTGAACTACCAGTATTCAGTGGTTTTTTTTTTTTTTTTTATCACTCAACCTTTGGTGAGCATTTGATAAGGACTTTCCACCTGAAACTGGCCCATATGTTCATTGTACTTGTGGGAGAAAAAACAAAAGTTTTATTTAGCTGCAGCAGAGAATAGAACCTTCGAGAACCACCAGGGTATACCGAATTCACTGATATGCCATTAGATGATACTCAATTGACCAAAGGTATGACCTGACTGTTATCAATATGGGTACAATTTCTTATAAGAAAAAAGTTGAAGCAAAAGGATACATATGTATCTATATTTTAATTATTAATATTCATTTTGATTACCTCCTAGGAAACGAAAAGTAAATGCTAATTTAATGAGAGATATTTTTAAAAGTTAAATCTTAGTAAATGCTGTGAAACTGTAGAAAGTAAAATTTGGAAAATGTATTAAATTTTTTTAATATATTTTCCACTTTTTGCTTTCTCTCATGGGTTTTTTAAAGCATGTTTTTCAGTTTATCAAAATTTTCTGTACTATTTGTCGTTTTTAATGTATAAAACACATTAAAAATAAACTTGAGATAAATTATGTATTTTTTTAGTTTTGGATAAGAAGTTACACTACAGGAATGATTGTCTAGCAATGATGAAAGGGATGCGTGGGGCAGAAAAGGTTGAGAACCAGTGAAATAGAGGCAGTTATTTTTTTAAATAATTGAATTTTGTTTATTTGATTGTTTTAAAGAAAATCATTTAAATAACATTAAAAATGATGTAAAGCGTGGGAGTTCACTTCTTTGGATCACATGTGCAAGACAGGTCAAAGGTAACGAAAATTTAAATAAGGAATAGCAAGCATATTAAAAAGAAACCAAATATTGCTGTTCATAGAATGCTAGAATATGATCACCATGAAGTAGTAACATTCTTTGGCTTAAGCAAATGAACCTATAATCATTCTGAACTAGTGTCAATTACTGTCTGATTAATTTCTAAAATCTTTGAAGCAATAGATGAACATTTTGTATGAATTTTTATACAATGATTTAACTTAAAGATACGGCAATGGTATGGCTTTGATATTGTTACGGATTTTGTATTTATTTAGTTATTTTCAGTAGAATTTGTAAATGAAATTGTTTTATATACCCGTGCAATGCAATACGAGTTTTATTTGAAGAGAAAGCTACACCGTAAAAGTTAAAATACAGGAGCATGTGCATGTAATAAATAGATATCTTATAATTGCTTTTGCTATGCAGAAAAATCGAGAAAATATGACAATGTGCTTGTGCATAATTAAAAAGCCTATAAAAGCTGGAGGAAAACATCTCAATTCAGTTGTTGTTTGGATAACTGTAGTTGTTTACTTACCACTGTCATCGATTGTAGCGAATTCGCAGTGAGATCGGACTAGCTTTCTCTGCTTTGAATTGTGTTCTGGAAAACATTTTAGTAGTTTAAAATATAACTACTATAAGATATTGCGATATTGTACAAATGTCTCTGAAGAAATTTCATCATTTTGTTTTATTTGTTGTGATAAGAAAAAGTTTTATTCACTTTTCATCGGACTTGTACATTCAATTTACATACACGTACGCACGCAACAGCATGCAGGAAGGAATGGAATACGAAGAAATTTACTGACTTTAAAATCTACTTTACTTTATGCCCCATGTTTATCAAACAATTTGATTTTTGTTTATAAATAATGTGCTTAAAATACAGATTTCGTTTAGGAGCTGTGTAGCTGTACCAGTTTCTTTCTCTGTTTTTGAGATTCTGATGGAATATTTTGAAAAGGAAAAATTTTTTAAGCTTTCAGTGCACCTTAATGGATACAGCAAAGCACATAAGGGTTTAGGACAATAATGCCTTTGTGGAGAATTTTCAAGATATAACTGAGGGGTATTTGCATTGTGCATGGGAATACTCCTTGCAGCTACTTCATTCGTCAACACCTAAAACCGAGATCAGTTACCAGTGATGAATTAGCAATGATCTTATTCACTAGGTAATTAGTGCATATTAAAGATTATATTTTTAAATATATAGAAGAGTAATCAATGAAAATATGTGACGCTGATGTTAAAAATAATGAAAATTTGATAGGAGTGCACATCTTTCAAATAGCTGAAACTGATTTGTTAGTTTAAAATGTTTATAAAGGCATTTCTTGCATTATTTTTTGGTACAGTATAGTGATCATTGTAAATCATGTCTTGTGAATCTGATAAGTAGTGAAGTGTTTAAGGTGTTAATTATTGAGAGAAAAGAAGAATTTTAAAAATGGATATCCAAATGTGCTGGTGAAATGTTTATATTCGATTCTAAAACTTTTAGTTTTTTTTTATACATTCCTGAATAAATAATTAAACACTGTAAAAATAACCTAACCATCTTTAGGAAGTAAATATGACATTTACTGGATTTTGAGAAACCTACTGTACAGGATAACTCTCAAAACATTTCTATGTTTTGGAACATAAATCTCTGGCACTTCAGCCTCAGGAATTCCTTGCACCAGTCATCCTCAATAGAAACCAATACAGCATATTTAATGAAAATGGTGGAAATGTATTTCATTCATAGTTAGTCTTCCATGTGTGGATTGTTCTTTACATTTAATTCAGTTTGGTTTTGAAAAGTCCATCAAGTTTGTCTTTCATAGCTGTAAATTTCTCTTCATTCTCAATACTTCTAAACTCTAAATCATATTGGGCAAGTACATGAAACCATGAACTTCAAAAATTCTTCACTTTATTATTTATCATTTTCTGGGTATATGTTATATCTTCTGCTTTCATTTAATCTAGGGCAGATATAAAGCATTTGATGTTCTTGATAGTTTACTAACCCTCTAAAACAAATCACATCTGATCCAAGTTCCCCACCTGGTTATGACATAAATTCTAGGACTTTTTGGTATAAAACATTACTGCTGGAGGTCTTTATAAGGATCTCCTTCATAGTAGCAATTGTCATTTACCCTTCTCAATTCCTTCCTGATATTGTCACAATCCATGTACTATACATGTCATATGGATTATTCTCGATCGCAGGGGAATTTCATAGTTTCTAGGAGGAATGCGGTCAGCCTTTCATTTAGCTGTAAAGTATTCAGTTTTAGTTTATGAATATAAAAAACTACTTTTATAGATACATAATACTGGAAAAACATGTACAAATATATGTGACATAAATGTGATATATGCATTTACTCACATACAGCCTACATATATTCTCACTAAGCATGCATTTTCTAATTTATTAATCATTCTCTAATGCAAAGGTTCTCAACCAAGGAGGAATTCTTGCCTGTGGGGAATTTCGTAGTTTCAGGGGGAAAATGCAGTCAATATTTTATTTAGCTGTTAAGTATTTAGTTTATGAATATAAAAAATACTTTTGTTTTGTTATTTATCAGTATATTCTGTTTTTTATTGAATTTGTAAAACATTTTTAGAAAAATCGAAATCTAGATAAATGTCTATTTGGGTTTTTCCCCTCGGAGTTTTGGAGAGGACGAGGCAAATGATCTTCCAAGCAATGGTGAAAGGGGTGCATGGGCCAAGGTTGAAAACCAATGCTGTAGAAAATAAATCGAGTATTGAGGGAGCCTGTTAACATTCTTTAGAATGAGAAAATGCTGTTTTTATACCATTTTATTTTGTTTTATTTTATTTATTTTTTAACCCGATGAAAAAAGTGTATTTTTGCCTGTTTAATCAAAATGGGTATGCCTTCTTTTCAATATGAAATCTTCAAATGTGTTGTTTTTAGTGAACATAATCAAAAACCTTTGTAATTAGAAATTATTGAGAACATTTATTAGGTATTTAAATATATTCTGTGTACTCTTATTTGGTAATTCTTCTTTGATCAAGTTCATGAGTTTTTTTAAGCATGTTTTTCAGTTTTATATCACTGATTCTTTTTAATGCTGAATAAATCTGCTCTCTTTCTCTAACCATTTCATTCTAAACTGTGACTATGCATGATAATTGTTGTATCCCTTATATTAATTCCTCATTTTAACATTTCAAATTAAAAGTATGATAGGGTTTTCTTAATTATCTTATTTTATATATATATATATATCTATTATTGACAAATGTAAATATTTTTTCTTCTGTATAGTACTTCGTATCTGACTATAAAACAATTTTGTATGTTTTAGAGAGTAAGGCATGATGAATTATGAGGTTTAGCCCAGCCTGGTCACTTCTAATTATAAGAAATGAGAAATAAACAAGATCATTCCATTCTGATCCTTGTCATACTAATTGTCATTGTAATATTTGATTTTGAAACATCTTTTGATAAATTGTGTAATAACAATTGTTAGATTTTTGTATTTATAATAAATATAACAATATTTTACCAATTTGTTGTTTTTGTTCTATGATTTTTTTTTTTTTTCCAGCGTTTTATATAAAATTTCTCTGCAGTCATACTTAATGCAGATTCGAAATTGTTGTGGACTACAGGTTCTTTGAATTCTCTTTAAACAACCCCTTCAGATAAGCAGGAAGAAATTAAAAATTTATTGTAAAAATAATGCCACACTGCGCAATAAATAAATAGCTAGAAATAGTTTGATGAGAATGTGGATGGTAATGTGCGCACAAGAAATGTTGTAAACTTTCAAAATTACTTGCAGAATAAATGCTAAATCACAATCAGCTGACTGCTAAATCTCACAACTGATTAACTAGCTCCTTAGCTTCAGACCCATACTTATATACTTTACTATGGGCCTTTGGAAGAATCGATCATAGAGCTTCAAAAATGTGTTTTCTTGAATCTTCCAGAAAGTTGGCAGTTGGTGACAAAACTTGGCAATTTTCCTCAAGGGCTGTTGCTCATATCTCGCATTCCACTAGAGCTATTTCTACAATTCAAATGTACTCAGAATTTAAAAAATCTGCATTTCTATATAAAAAGTAACACTTGAATAAAAAAATAAAGCAGCCCCACAGGCAGTTAAATACAAAATAAAACCTTAAATTCTCATTCTAAAAGCAACAAATAAGTAAGTAAATCAATATGCAATACTGCAATCATTCATGAAAACAAAATACAATCAAAAAGGATTTAGATATTTATGATAACATGCACTTGAATAATAAACAGCAGTAGTATTAAAGAAACATTATGCTTGTATCAACGTTTATGATCTAGTATCAAAACATTTTTAATGAAATGTTGAAATGCTGCTCATTTTTAGAGATAGTTTAGGAGGGTTGTTTTAATTTGGTGTAGGAAGAATGATTTTTTTCCATGGCCTATAACCTTGGAGCACTAAGCATCACTGTTGGCCTGAACACTTTTTGTTGTTAAGTCTAACATGTGACAAGAAAGCTCTATAACATCTGCTTTTATTGAAATATTCAGATTCTGGCATTCACTATTTAAATTTGTTCTTTATTTATGTAAACTGAAAATTATGATTCATGCAATTGAAATAGAAATTTAAAAAAAAAAAAAACACATTATTACTACTAATGATCATACATAAATACTTTCTATATATTAACCTTTTACACGCCAATGTTCCATAAATGGAACATCGAATTAAAAATTTTATAAACACAGTTTTATTAATATTGTTTTGTATAAATTATTACATGGAGAGTAAATATGGATTGATGTTTTAGTAGCAATATAATTCTTCTAAGAGAAAAATTATCTTGGGGAAAAAAATTTATTATTTCACCTTTTTTCCTTCTTTTCTAAGAGCAAAATTCAGAAATTCATATAAAATTAAAAATTCAACAAATGTTTTTAAAACTCAATGAGGATATTTAAAAAGGATCATTTTATGCATAGACAGTAAGTTATCATAGAAAGATGATTATTATTTTTTACTATGAGGTAAGAAATGTGGATGTTCCAGAAAGGGAACATTGGCATGTAAAGGTATATTTTTTAACATGATGAAATTACTTTGATTGCCATGAAGGATTGGAGAAAGATTTTCCAAATGGGAAAAAAATAGGAGACTTATTACCTTTCATGACTGAAAATAACTGCTCGCACTGATAAGTGCTACCAAACATGGAAATAATTTCATATGTGAATTTTCGAGTATTTTCAAACCTGGCTGGTAAATATTTGTAAAATTCAGGCACGCCCACTTCAATGAATTTTGCTTTCAAATTTGAGTTGCATTGAATCTCGATCACCTCCATTTGCATATGGCTGGGTACTGAGTCAATACTTATTGAGAAAAAGAAAAATCGAAGAAAAAAAAAAAAAAAGTTTGTCTTTGAGGGAGCTAAAATCATTAAACCTCATTTCAAATTCAGTTGTTAAATTTGCAATTTTTTCTGCGTGTTATTGATACGAACAAGTATCATCTAAACTTGATTTGTTCATGCTGCACGTCGGGAAGTGCGTCAAATCTTCATTTTTAAGTTGTTTTTCCCAAAGAACTAGTTGACATTTGAATGCTTTAATTATGTCAAACATGTTCGTAAAGATATGATATATCAAGGAAAACCTTGTAACGATAAATTTAAATCAGTTAAGTGTTTGGTTATATCAACCAAGAAAGATAAATCTTGTATCCATATTGGATCGTAAAACAAACTTACGTCTTGATTTTTCGTTTTTAAAAACTGACATATTTCTTCTTTAAAATCCCAGAATTGTTTGAGAATCTTGGATTGTATTTCTGCAGAAGTCCAAAAACACAAGTAAATATATCTTCTCCTGTGGTAGTACCAGGCATCGGTATTACTTCCAGTAATTCCTCAAAAATGTTAAAATTCTTGTCACAAGAATGAAGAAACACTGCTAATTGAGCTTTGCAACTAATGTCCGTGCTCTCGTCACAGGCAATGGAGAAACTTTCGAAACTAGATGATTTTGCTTTGATCTGATCACTTAAATTCGCGGCTAAATCAGTAACTCTTTCCGCAACTGTATTTCGAGACAATGAAAATGATTGAAAAGCCTTCACATTTCCACAACAAACAATTTCTCCAGCTTTCATTAGGCATTCCTTGATGAAATCACTGTCAGTAAAAGGCTTCGAATGTTTAGCTATCAACTCGGACAAGACGTAGCTTGCATGTACTGCCGCTTCACTTTCTTGCAATACTTTACTAAACATGGACTTTTCACTCCTAACTTGAGCTCTTTCAACTTTCCTTCTCTCATTAATCCTTCGTAATTGTTATATTTCGATTTGTGTTGTTCGTAATGACGTTTAATATTATATAACTTTGGTACATTAATAGTATTATTACATATCAAGCAGATTATTTTATCTTTTATTTCACAGCAAAAATATTCTAATTCCCATTTTACTTGGAATATTCTATGTTCGTCAGCGATTTTTCGTTTAATTTTACTACCACTTGGTTTTGATATAGACATACTGAATACAAAGGGCTGGAATAAACACGGTTAACGTTAAAAAGTTAACAAAAATTTATTCTTTCCACAAGAGATAAATCAAAATGCTGAAATATTTCTTCAAAAATATTCTAACAATATCACAAAATGTCAAACGTTTAGCAAAAATGAATTCAAAACAGAGAAACTAATTCTATCTCACAGCGAAATCGCTACAAATAAATCAATCACAGCATTAAGTAAACAAACAGTTCGCTAGAACTACAGCTACTACTGAGATGAGTTGTTTGTTCTCGGCTTTTATAAGCTTTATAATTAATTTCTCGAATATACTGGAAACATCTATAAATATCTGGATTTTTGTGGATGGCAACAGCAATTACGAGATATTTATTTATTAGGTATTAAATGCACGCGCTGTTCTATTTTTAACCTTCCAACGCAGCTGTCTTTTCAAAAATCGTCTGCGTTGCTAAGGCAACATGAAAGCAAATCTAATTACAATTCTAAATAAAAAAAACTAAATAAATAAATAACTATGAAATCCGTAACAATATGAATTAAGTAATAATTAATAATAAAAGCAAAGTGCATGCACCCAATATATCGTACAAAACTATGATTGGAAAACTGAGACCATGAGTTCGGCCACATTCGGCTATCGGGGGATGCGTACAAGTTCTGAGTGCACGTGTCCCCCAAAAGCCGAAGGTAGCTGAACGCAAGCTACTCACACGCATTTGTAATTTAAGTAGTGTGTGTGTCAGCTCGCTGTGAGTAATCTAACAACACTGAATAAATTATCGTTAATTACTTAGCAGTAAACATTTCATTTTTTTCTTCGTCGATATGTTATTTTATTATTATGTATTATTATTTGCCGATATATTGGCCGGGCCGCAAAAATATTTGTTGTGGGCCGCGAGTTTGACATCCTTGCGCTAGAGGTTGTTTATGACTTTCAGTGAAAAAGGCGTATATTTTGGAGTGTGGATTACATTATTTTCCCACTGTTTGCATTTTTTTTTTTCAGTTCGTGAAGATACGCTCCGCTGATAAGATGGCTCGTTCAAACCATTTCAGTCTATTGAAGAAGCATTGGAATATTTTTAATCATTATCAGATGATGAAGAGTGTATTGATATTTGTCAACTGCCTCCAAAAGGAAGTGGATGTTTGACAGATGAGGTAGATGTAAATGAAGATATTTTTGAGCCTGTTCTGCCAGCAGATGTATGTGGAAAAATCGAAATTTCTAATAAAATAGATGATGATGAAATATCTCAAGAAGTTTCGTTCGATCCTCAAGATCCTTAATCTTCAAAGGGAAGGAAGAATTTGAAGTGAAAACTAAATGTGAAAGAGAAAATCATTGAACATCGGTGGGGGGAAAAATTTAAATTAAAAAAAATTCTAAAAACTGGCAGCATTGAAAATATTTGTGAAGTGTTTCCTGAACTAGTTACTTTATCTCCAGTTGAAATTTTTCACAAATTCCTAACTAGAGAATATTTGCTGCATTTAGCAAATATTACAGGTCTTTATGGAATGTAGAAAGGAGAAATTTTAGCTGTAGATGAAAACGATATTTGACAGTTTTTTGGATTACTGTTGTTTAGTGGGTATCATGGAGTACCCGGTGAAGATTTATACTGTAGCACTCAAGAAGATTTATCTGTCCCAGTAGTTTCTTCTGTAATGCCAAGAAATAGATTTCGAAAACTGAAAAAATATTTTCATATTATAAATAATACCAAGTTGGCATTAGGAGATAAAACAGGAAAAGTCTCTCCTTTTTGTGAAGAACTGGAAAAAAACTTTCAACAGTTCGGCATCTTCCATTCCTGCAGTGTGAATTTTTGTATGGAGATTATTTGTTACTTATTTCTACAACTCTTTTCCTTGTTTCAGTATAAACTGCTAACAATTAATGTAGAATTCTTTTATAAATACTTGCTTATCAGCTATGTAATTTTTGTTTTAATTTATTACGAAAGCTTTTTTCTGTGGAAGCTTCATATC